TTCATGTGTACTATTTGTTCAAGTAGTGACAAGAGAAGTAAAAAAGAGGGGGTTATTATCTAGAAAGTGTATATATCACACATAGAAATGCACCACAATGACTCCTATGAAAACATCAGACAATGAAGTTTTAATATATATTCAATGAGAATGAAAACAATTGTGAGTTTATGTAGAAGTGGATATTGTTCCAAAAAAAGGGGCATGAAGTTTAATGGTGTCAAAAACAGTATAGTAAATGACTATTATTAAACACAGAATTAGAAGTCTAACGTCCATAAAGAACTTCTGCAATATCAGACAAAAGATTTCTCAAAAAAAGTCTTAGAACAGTCAGAGAGATATAAATGATAACATAGGGAATATAGCCAATAATATTATAATAACTATGTATGAAACCAGGGTGGTATTCCAAATATCAGGGGGGTCACTCTGTAAAGTATATGATTGTCTAACCACCATGCTGTACCTCTGGAACTAATACAGAATAATACTGAATGTAAACGATAACTAAAAATTTTTTTGAAAGTAACCAAAAGATTTCTTTTTTGCTTAGCCCAGACCAAATTTCTAAAGAAGGCAATGAAGTCTTCCTGTTTCTGAGAAACCCAGGATTTTCTGAAACATTTAAAACTTTAATCCTTATCTAGAATTTCTATGTATCATCTCCTGTTAACAGAACTTCCCAGGCTTGCACAACTGAGTAAGAGATAACTAGCTACCCCATCCACCCAGGAGGGGGCAAGGAATATTCCATCTATGGCTACTTGGAACTTAGCTCCATTTGGCCAATCAAGATTCATACATTTACTTCTATTTTTAAGGTGATTTATTCTAAAATAGGCAGCAAAAGAAAAAAAGATAACGGACAAAAGGAGGGAATTCATTCCTGATATTTCACAGCAAACCTGGGCAATTTTGAAGCAAAATTGTTACATGAGGATGCTGCCTCTTTACTGGACTGCCAAGATCAGTGTGAGAGAAGACGGACTGCATAGATATCACAAAGTTAACCCAAGAGCAACAGGCTTTTTCCTTTCCTCGTGCATACAAGCAAGTAATTCTATCCTCCACTTAAACGCTTAGTGGGTAATAAACTCTTCACTGATACTCGTAGTGTTCTTAACACGAGTATTAATTAACATCTCTACATCTTAAAATCCTACAATTCTATAGCATTCCTTGAGGGTAATATAAAGCATAGTGGATATAAAGGAAAATAGAAACTTAGAAACACATTTGAAAAGGCTGAAATCATATGCTGAACACATAATCAAAGGCATCTCTGATTTGTTAGAAGACACAAATTTAGAGTAAGATCCCCACACTGTTAACATTTGATACAGAACAACTTAGTCAGAATTTCCCCTTGTCATTTATTCTGATTAATCTCTAAGTCACATAAAATGTGTGATTTGGTAGATACTTTAGTAATATAATTTTCTTCCTTTTAATATCAATTATACTACAGGTTTCTGAACATTCTTTTAAATCGTTCAGATTTAAAGACTGAAAATATCATTTGAATTGGCCCTAAGAATAACCAAGAAACAATTTCCAACATAGGAGAACACCAGTTTAAAATAGAGGAATTCAAATGATTATCAATAATAAACAGCACCATTCTCTTTTCTCCTTAACTTTAAGATTTGCTTATAATTTAAAGTGCACTGTAAAATAAAATGTTGTCATTATTTGTCATCAAATGTCCGTAGACTGCTCGCCACTGAACGTGTTATTTGTGGGAGTTTACATGAGAAATGTAAGATATCACCACTGACTTTAAAGAGTTTAGAGTTGACTTGAAGGAAACAAAAACAAAGTTAATAATTAAACTCTATTTCATGAGATAGTTATTAAAGTACATTCATGTTCAAAGAGTAAAGGTAGAAGGAATACATTTCAATTGGCTTTGTCAGAATAAATGTTTTCAGAGGAAACAGGACTTTGCACTGATCTTGAAGAGAAGGATTTAAACAGCAGGTGACAGTTTCAGGCTGGTTAATCTAGAAAGCTCTTGGACTTTTGACATCATTGCAGCCTTGAAGGCCAGGAGTGGAGAGTCTGAGGATTTCAACAGCTTAAAATATGGCTCTTGGGCAATACAAGTACAGTGGTTAACCAAATGTGGAGTGCCATGGGGTGTTTGCCAGTGACTGTGAAGAAAGTGGTTTACAACCTGGAAACCATTAAAAATTTCTTGCGGCAGATGACCTAGTGCTTCACTTCCAATCCTGGATTTTTTACTTCTTAACTCTTTCTCTGGCTTTCCTTTCCTGAGCTGAAAAATGGCACTGGGAGAATTTTTCTTATCTGCCAAAAAGATTCATTATGAGGCTCAAAAGAAATAAGCATAAAAGTGTTTTAGAAGCTGCAAACCATTAAGAATGTTTTAATTCATATTGCATTACTCTGTGGTATTATGACTGAAATTTTATTGCTTGGGACAAATGGTAAATCATTCATTTAGACTGTCCAGATATCACTGTCATTTGTGGATTTTTTATAGGTTGGGACAAAAATAGCATTGTGCCTTTATTTCCTGGACACACTGCAGGTAAGACAGTTGGCTTCCTTTTAAAAATGGTGATAAAGAAGCAATTACTTTTAAATAGCTCTGCCTCCTGTGGTACACGGTGCTGTCATTCTCCACTGCAGGGAACCATGGACTATCCACAAGTGCAAGACCCACGTTAGAGATGCCTAGACGGAGCCAGACCTGGGCCATGTGCCTGAATGATTTCAATGAGAACCCAGGTTATGTTATACAGTGCTTCCTGATTAGGTTGGGCAACTCAAGAGCTCATTAGAGTGGGGATTTTCTATTACCTGCTTACCAGCTGGAAAAATATTTTTCTTTTTATTCTGTAGACAGTGCATGTTAAGTTGGTTTAGAGTGGCAATGATATCTGTAAGAGTTTCCAGAGGACCAGTGGAACTAGAAATCACACCTCATGCCCCTTCTCTGATGTTAACATTTAATGCCAAAACTAATTCATATGTTCACTTATATTTAAAATAGGTTATTTGGAACTTACCAAAACACACACATGCACAATTCAATAACTTTTTTTCTCTCACAGAGTCCTATTATACTGTGGTTTATTCCCTGTGGTTAAGGTGAATTTAATTGTCTAAGATTTTTAGTCACATTGTTGAAGTCCTGTCTTATCCACATTATGTGAGATTTATCTTTTGTCTTTTGATGCATACTAAGCTCTAAAAAGTTAGTATAATAAATCTGCAGGTGTTTTTCCAGATTACCACTCCCCAGAAGGATGAAGGATTGCATTGCCTGAGTCAGGTATGATGCTGATGGTACCAGGAAACTGTGCAGGAGAGAGACCTTCCCATTTTGCTTCCCACAAAGTGAGACCAAACCTCTCAGCCTTCCTCGACTAGAAAATTTCTTAAGTTCCCTTCCAGATTACATTTTCTAAATGTTCATGACACCTCCTCCTTGCTCAGCAATTGAAATGATGTCCTGCCAAGGAAAATGAGTAAAGAAGTTAATAATATTCCCCATGGTCACAGGGGACTAGGAAAAGAAGTTCATTCCATCACTGGTTTACGATTGCCATTATGTTTACTTATGATCGTCTTGAACTACTCTGAGAACAAGGGTCTTGAGAATAATCCAGAAAGTACCTCGTTAGATTTTCATGAAAGAAAACCAACATGCTATTCCAATGTCATAGCTGTGCATGCCATGGACCTAGACATATAAAAGACCTGACCATTGAAACTTCAGTGCTCTAATTACTTCCCCAGGTAACACAGAGGAAGCAGAGGGAGAGGAAGCTGGAAGCTACCTCATCCTTCAGATTCAGGGGGCAGCTCAGGGCTCACTCCAGACCAGAGCAAGCCCGCTAAAATGGCCTTGGTCACACCACTGATCATGAAACCAGATGGTTCCAGAAGCTTGTGTGTGTGTCACCCTTCCCTCCCATGCAGTTGTTTGAGTGAAGCCAGAGCGGGTGCTGTCTTGCTGATAAATAAATTCTAATCTCTAGACCAAACTTCCCGATGAGCCCCTCAAGCCCATTGGCCTCCCACAGCTTCACCTAACGAGGCCAATGACACACCTGGCTAGGAGCCAGCGCCAGAGCAGTCTGGGTCTCCCTGGCAGTGCTTTAACCTGTGCTCTCCCCACCCCACCCCACCCCCAATGAAGAACATACCTCTTTCACTTCAAGTGCATTGAACTGTAGAAAGCAAGGTATCATCTTGCAGGGCAATATGCTCACTAAAGTACAAGTGTGGGATTTCCAGTAAGCAGACTTGACTTTGAAGCTCTGTCCTGCCACTGACTTACAGCAGGAGTACAGACACCTTCATCATGCTATCTTGGCTTTTAAAGCTGGCTGATGTCCACAGAATGATAAACTAATTTGTGAAACCTAGACGGACCCATGTGTAAGGAGAAGAGGTAGGGCTCTCAGTTAAGTGCAACTGTAATCACAGCTTTCATTTCCTGAGTAATAATAATATGTTAGAGTTAAGGATGATCGCAAATTTTTCTAAAGTCAAACCTCGCTCTGCTGTGGTTCCAGCCTTCCTCAGTAGATGGAGATGAAGGGCAACTCCTAGAGGGCTCTGTTCCCCAGGGGAGGCTGGTCTTCACTAGTCCTGGCTGGCCCAGAGGATGAAATCGCCCCTGGATTGTCCCTTAACCTCCAGCAGGAGCCAGCAGCTCCATGCAGGGCCAGGCCAAGTTTTGCACGCTCCGCGAAAGAAAGGGTGAGGGCAACTCCTCCCGGCCGCTCTCCTTCCAACCCCCACTGCCTACTCTCCTCCTCCAAGGCCCCCTTCTCCCCGCCCCTTCAGTCCAGGGAATTTCCCAAGCATCCTAAAGCTTGAGTTTCCTGTCTGGGGGGGAAGGGACAAATGCCGATAAAAGGGATGCAGGGGCTTGGTCATTCCACAGTGCTCTGCTGTTTCACTCCTTTCGCAGCCTCCATCCTGAATACGCGCCCTCTCGCCGTGCCTTCTTCCTCGCTATGAGCCTCCTGCCCAGCTGCGCTGCCCGCGTGCCCGGCTCTTCGGGGTCTCTTTGTGTCCTGCTGGCACTGCTGCTGCTGACGCCGCCCAGGCCCCTGGCCAGCGGTGAGAGCCCACAGCCCGCAAGACGAGCCTGGCAGAGTGGGGTGCCCCAGCCCCGCACTGGGGGTGGAGAGGTGTCCCGATCCAAGCTGACTGGGGAAAAGCTTTTCCAGCAACACGCCCCTATAACAGTGTCTCTCTTTCTGCCCCAGCTGCTCCTTCCTCGGTCTTAATGACAGAGCTGCGTTGCGTGTGTTTAAGCATCACTACCACGGTTCATCCCAAAATGATCAGTAATCTGGAGGTGATCGCCGCAGGTCCGCAATGCCCCAAAGTGGAACTGATGTAAGTCCTCATGCACTGCGGTGTCCACTGGGACCCTGCCCTGGGTCTGCAGCCCCTGCAGTTCATGGGCTCATCCTCGTTTTCTTTTTTTCTTTTTCTCCTCCCCCCCGCCCCCGCCCCACCCCGCTGCAGAGCCACCTTGAAGAACGGGAAGGAAATCTGTCTGGACCCAGAAGCCCCTTTGGTCAAGAAAATCTTCCATAAAATTTTGAGCAGGTACCTGTCACTTTGATCTTTGCGGTTGTTTAAATCTCTCTTGGAGTGTAGCCTTTGCAAGGTCCCTGTTCTCTGCGTGGGTTTGGTTACTACTTCCCAGCCCATTCTTGATATAAAAAGGTCGTTCAGGAGAAAAGGGTAAGTTGTTCCAGAATGCCCTGGGAAAATCTTTATCAACAATCTTGCATGTAACAGCCTAAGTGGTTATACAGAACTCGTGACTAAGATGTATTTATTTTGTTAGTATAGACCTTGCATCCACCCTTTAAAAACCCTTTTTTAAGAAAGAACCCTTTGTTCTTTATTGACCTTAGGCTCTGTGTTTTGCAAACTAGTTAGTGTATACAGGAATGTGGAAATTTGGTTTAACCTATATTGTTTTTTTTCTCAACAGTGGAAAGCAGAAAAATTAAGAGAAGGATCGTGCATTGGAAAAACTGCCCAGTTCTTCAGCAGAGGAGTTTTCTGGGGATCCCTGGATGGAGAGGAAACAAAAATAACACGGGCTAATTTCTTCTATTGAGTTAGGTTTCACCATGAATTCCCACTTTGAGGAAGGGATGGGAAGAGGGACCTATGTTTGTCTCTGCAACTTTCTGTTCATCTTATGAAGTATTTTATGTAGTATTTACTAGTGTTTATTTGCTGTTATTTTATCTGCTAGGCTATTGAAATCTTTGGCAATTGATTTAATAGTGAGTCAAGAATCACTGGTTGTTATTCTTTCAAGGCAATTAATTTCTAGAATATGTTCCCTAGAATGTTACTGAAATGGTTGTGGATTTAATATGTGAATGGTATTTCTTTAGAATGCTATATATGAGGTTAAACTGTTGTGTCACTCTTATGAAATTGTAACTATTTTAGTATTGTTTCTTAAGGAACATATTAGAGAGTTTCCTTACTCTTTACCCTGGGACCCTATTTGAGATATATTGCATTAGAATGCTGGGCACATCATACAGTTATCATTCCAGAATATACATCCTTATTTAGAATTTTTAAATGTTGAACTTCTATAATAGGGAGTAATATATTCTTTCCTATAACTTTAGACATTTGATGTCTTCTCAGTATGGCATAATGTCATGACTTACTCATTAAACTTTGATTTTTATATTGTATTTATCAACTATTTTATTAGGAGCACTATAATTTTAGTCACAAAATATCTTCTTTGGATGAAGAAGGTAAGAAATAGGTAAATTCATTATGGCTACTTTTTATAGAAATATATTACTTTGGGTTTTTCTTAAGAATAAAACAAACTTATCAATGAACTGTACCCTGAAGGTCTTGCAAATATATTTGAGCTATCTGAATATAAACTCATCACTTAGTTTTCAAAAAACTGCACAGCACTGCTAAAATATTTAAATGCTTATCTTGTAACTTTTAAAGGTTTTGACCATTTTATTATAAAGAATTACAGTTGTATCACATTTGCTATGTTAAATTTGTGTCCCATTGGTTTATAGTACTTTTTTCATTTTTTGGAAAAAATAAAAGATTTTAAAAATTTATTCATGTTGTTTCTTCCTTCTTATATTGTTGTAAAAATTGTACTTTTCTTTAATTCAACCTTATTTTGAAAATTAAGTATGCTCCTCTTTGGCTCCTCTCTGGCATTAGAGAACTAATGCTATTGCATTAGTTCAGCCTTTCCAGTTACCCCTTCATAGAACCAAAAGTCTCTGGATTCTTTAGAAAACACCAATAGGTAAGGCTTCCTTACCTTAAATCTTCAGCTGGCTTCCTATTTCCTAGACAAAATATAAATTGCAAAGCATGGTGAATTATATTCAGTCTCATCCAACTCCTGGTTATTCCTTCAACTTTACTTTTCCTTCCCGTCTTTGCAGTCAGGTGCTTGGATCTTTCCTGGGTCCACGCCTTTGCACTTGCTAAGGCCTCTACCTGGAAGTGGCTTTCCTCTTCTGCCTCTAGGAGGAAGCTTATGCTTCCTTCTGCACTCAGCTCAAACAATGCCTCCTTCACAATGTTTTCCTTTGACACTCCCAGCAGAATTCAAGTTTTCTATTCTGATGTTCCCATAACACCTTCTAGATATTGGAATTTATTTGAATAGCAAATATGGCATTGCTTTTACTTGCTTAGAGATTTCTTTACCCTACTTTACTAAGAGCTCTCCCAGAATATCAACTATATTTCATTTCCCTCTGAATCTCTCATGCCTGACACAGACTGGCTTAATGAATTAATAAATTTTCCTGACCCTCAGGTTGTCGATGTCCTAAAATCGATAACCTCCTTCATGGTAATGATTGGGTAAATTTAATTTCTTTATTCTCTTTTCTCCTTGTTTCCAAGTAATCAAATAAGACCTGTGGTATATGCAGCCCTGCCCCCCACCCCCCAACTATAACACCTTCGCCTCACTCACCTGGCTAGCTCCCACTCTTCCTTCGAAGTCAGTTTATCTGGCCTTTAAGGTTTCCCCAACTATTTCTGTCACCACATTAAGGCCCTTTGTATATTCTCTCATAAAGTTCTGTTGTTTTATTTAACAACATTCTGTCACCAACATGTCTATAGAGACTATACAAGTATGTATATGGTCACTTATTTAGCGTCTATTCTAATTTCATTGTAAACTCCATCAGGTCAAAGACAAGGTCCATCATGCTCAACTCAGTTCCTAGGACAGTGCCTACTCAGCTCATAGTAAGTGCTTAAACAGATGCATGATCTAGGCTAAACAAGTCTCTAGCTCATTCTTAGGAGAAGAAAGAAAACAAAAAAGAAAAAGACTATTCTAATTAGTATACATATACACACCCCCCTACACCCCCCCCCAATTGCATTAATATATTACATGAAGGGGGGACCCAAAAAACCCTAGAGCTTATTTATAAAAATGGTGTATTTATTCTTACATGTTTAAACTTCATTCACCTTCAAGGTACTCTCCATTTGATGTAATACATCTATTGAGATGTTTTTTCCACTGCTCAGAACAGTTTTTGAACTCATCGATTTTGATGCATTTTAGTGTTTCTGCCACCTATGATTTATACACTGATCATTGGGGGAAACCAAAAAAGCAAACCAAACTATCATAAATGTTTAAACTATAAATTTCAGTATTTTAAACAGTGTCTGATTTTTCATATCAGCCCCAACATACTCATTGAATAAGTGCCTGATAATAATAAATGAAAGCATATTAAATACCCTTTGGGTGGGTGAAATATATGGTTTGTAAACTAATAAAAATCACTGGTATACTTTTCTGTATCATTATTCAAGGCCTTTATCTTTCCTAAAAACAAGATTTATAAGTTTAGTTTACTCATAAACCCTAGAATAAGTCCTATTTGTAATATTCTTGCAATTCTACTTGCCATGTTCACACTGTAATTGGTCATTCTATAAAGAAGATAAATCACAATATATTACTGAAGCATAACCTAAACAAAAACCTCAGTGATGGTTTGTACTCACCAATGTTGGATCCTGTCACTAGCAAACCCAGGGACTAACACATGTGGGAAAAATTAATCTAATGTTTGACTTTTAGGGATATGTCTTAATATTTTCCTCATACAAATGCCTGATATACTATTTCCACTCTGTTATCTGCCTAAAACTCTCTTATATATTAAATCACAGGGAACTAAATGTGTCAGCTAAAATTGACTCTACGTTACTGCCCTAATCCAGACAATTTCAATGTATAATGAATGTCTTTTATTCTCCCAGACTTTCCTGCTTCCCTCTGGGTGTGGCTCCTTCACATAATCCTTCAATTTCTGAAGGTCCAACAGGCTCTATGTTAAATATGACTAGTGGCTTTGTTTTTCTATCATACATTTAATTCTTGCATAAGGAAAAGAATTGCTGTGGGTAACTCATCTTGTACAACGTCAAAATCCTTCCCAGATGTTACAGATTGAGAAATTTACCAGACAGGATGAGCACCTGGGCATTTCAGTTTGCCCTCCTGACCGAATCATGGAAGAAGACAAGGGAAGTGCACATCATTCTGATTTTGGCTGACGGTCACAGGTAGCTTGTAGTAAGCAAAACTATCATGGTATTTCTGGGAAGGGTTTTTCACACTTTAAATGTGTAAAATGAAACAATAACATAGGATCAGGGTTTATGTGTAAAATTTTGTTTCTACAAGGTGTAGAGACCTGTTTCTTAAATATTGAGGAATTTCCTATGCCATGTAAAGTGAGCATGATGATTGTTTCTGAGACTCTTTAGAGATGGATCAAAAGAAAAATAATTGATTCATTTCCAGGAAGAGAGGCCAGTGATACCTCTTTATAATTTGTGGTGCAGTACAAAGGCAGACAATTGTGTTTCAAATTTAATTTGAGTATATTTAGCTGGGCGACACTGGTAACTTTTTTTAACATCCCCATCCCCTTTCAGCTTTTTCTTCTGTGAAATCAGTACAGTAATATCTATCTCTTTGGCACTAAGAGCGATCCTGGAACAAAATAGATGCTTGATAAATATTAATTCCTTTCCCAAATCTCCTAATTCCAACTCCTCTTGATAAATGAGAAGACTGAAAGTTCAATGGGTTTTTTTTTGTTTGTTTTTTGCTTTTAGATTTATCCATAGTTTCCACCTATGCTTGAATGATTAATTTTCAGTGCTTCTAATAATTTTTTCTGCCATTCTTTTCTAGGGAACTTCTGAAATCAATGCATTCATATTCTACTATGTCTTTACCAATTATGTGGTAACATTATCAAAATGTATAATGTATTTTCCTTCTTATAAACATTCATCCATCAAATATTGATATATTTGATATTATTTATTGATAAGGCAGTTACATACTGGACCTGGTGTCGGGATGCTTATAATATAGAGATCACAAAGATGAAATACTTTTGGCCTAAGTTAAGATCTTTTGGCAGCAAATATACTCAAAGAGTAGGGGTCTTTTTTGACAAAGCTTTCTTTGAAAGTTGTATGAAGAGAAACTAGATTTCTTAAAAGAGAAAGAGGAAGAGAGGTAGGAGTTCTTAGAATGAAACCCTGAGAGGAGATTTTTGGGCAGGAAGTTTACTTCCCAGTGCTCACCCTGCACCTTTCAGGAAGTATGGAAGTGGCATGCAGCAAAGGAAGAGCTGCTGGTATGACAAAAGATTCAGGTGGTTCTGTGAGAAGCTCAGGAGCTGAGATGGCCTTATTGAACTATTCTGAACTGTGGCAAAGGAGGCATCTCTGTGTCCTCCCATTGATCAGCCATTAGCGTTGGCTACCCCTGGACAGAGGGCATAGCTTTGGGTGAGCCAGTTCCTTTCTGCCACGGGCTCTGCCCAGAGAGGGCCTCAGCTGGGCGCTTTGTGTGCCCATCCCTCCAGCAGCTGAAGAACGCCGCCCAGGGTGCTAAGAGGGCATCTAGGTGGTGCACCATGGTTTCCGGGGCAGGGTATGGGAGGGAAGGGGGGAGAGGAAAGAAAAGAGAATGGGAAGAAAGGGAAAGGGAGGAGAGTGGAGCACTCTTCTTTTTCTCTCTTTTTTCTTCTTATCTCTTACCTACTGTCCTTTCTCCTCCCTTCTTTCCTTTCTCTCCCTCTGCTTCCCTTTTTTCTTCCTTCCTCCCATTCATTATTTATTCCTGAGAGGTAAAATGATGCTAATTAAAAGGGGAGGAGGGGCAGGAGGACCACTATGTCCCAGCAGAAATCTTAGCCAGCACCAATCAACCACCTCCTGTGTGAATGAGGCCATTTTGGACTTTTGAGCCATTTCCATTGTCCTCTGACTACACCCGCTTCCGTGAGCACAGGCTAGAGGACAGCAGAAGAACCTCCCATTAGCACACAGAACTGTCAGAAATAAGAAGCTGATGTTGTAAGTCACTAAGTGCAGGGTTGGCCTGCTGCACAACAAAAAGGATCAAAAGAGGAGCCTCATGTATCTGATATTCAACAAATAATATTAATCATGTTATTAATATTAGAATGTTAATATTCTAATATTAAATTAGAATAAAGTGGAAGGGAAAATTAGAATAAAAATTCTCAGGCCTGCAAAGGACTGCTGTGATCCGGTAGAACACGTAGCAGCCGGGAAGATTTTCTGCTCCACTCCTTCACCCTCCTCACTCTCACGCGTTCCCCACCCCAGGCTTCACCCCCACACAGAATGCAGCCTCAGCTGGATGCATCCCAGAGTAGCTGAGGCTTGGATCATTCTTGTCAACTCAGATTTATTTTTTTAAGTTTGATTTCAGCACTTCTGATAGGGGATCTTCTGTTGGCTAGTATCTATCGAATTAAGTGCTTTAACGAACAGATCCAAATTTTTATTATGCCTGAGATCTTCTGTACCAGTTGCTTTCATGACTAATTTGCAGGGGATAGCTAATTTCTTCATACTTGGGAGAGGTCAGTTTAAAATATTCTATGTCAGGCAGAGTTAATATATAAAGTAGGTCTATAGTTGTTAGTACTCTCAAAACAGAGTTTATTCTTGTATTATTATTTATTAATTATTGTATTATTTTCTATACAAACAACTGTAATCCTACTTTTGCCCATTAATTTCAATGGAATGGTCCTCCAACGTCTCTAAATGTTTTCTGTTAAAATAGCTAGCATATAAATTCCATTTCGAATTTTAGAAAACTTGCTCGTTTCCTGAATGACTCTGCTATTTATACAGTGACTTAAGGGAAAAAGAGATAAAGTAACTTACCGTCAAGAAAAATAAAAAACTCACCAGTGTGACAATGTAATATTTATAAAAAGGCTCTCAAGTTATTTTTAAACACAAGAACCTCTGACACTAAATTTCTAGCGTTCATATAGGTTATAATTTTAAAAGCTAACTTCTTTTAATTGAATAGCATTTTCAAAATTTTGTTACTTATTTCTGTACAGTTAGTTTATTAGTGTTTGTATTGTGTTTCTATTCAAAGAAAATAATGCAAATGATAATAATAGCAGTTAGCAGCAACAGTAGTAGTAAAAGTAGGTTAGTTTTTATTCCTGACTACTTTGCACAAATAGTTGGGGTGTCACTTTTTAAATAGAATAGTTAATGACTAAGTCATACAATGAAGAGAATTTTGTAATGCCTGGAACATACTCAATTCTTCATCAAAAATTAATTAAACAAATAAAAACCAGCAAAGTTTATTCACCTCAAATGCTGACTAGTAAGCTTGTAAAATTTTAGTGACTCAAAAAATTTGTTAATACTTCCTCATGAACCTTTTTGACAATGAATCTTGTGACAAAATACAGTTGTTGATTAAGACAATGACTTGATCATCCTGCGCTACATGCATTCCTCTTCCTTGGTACCGACTCACTCAAAAATCATCTTTAGTTCAAAAGACTTTCAATATCATTTCCCCAAAAGGAGTGGAAACTTCTCAGCAACCTTGCTAAATGAATCAAGGAAAAAAATTGGACTGCATTTGAGTCCAGTGAAACCAGTAAATATTGTACATCATGGGTGTTGTGATGGACAAAAAAGGAAAAATGCTATGAATAATGAATGTTAAAAACCTTTATATCTTGCTCTCGATATGGTTTTGAGCTTATGTTTGAATAAAAAAAAATCTGATTTTTAATGCTGGCAAAAAGCTATAAAGTCATCACTCAAGAAGACCTAGAAAGAAGTTTGCTTTCCGTAGTCTGTTTTCTGTTAAGATTCTCTCCACAATTCACTCTGCATCTTAGCCCTTAGAAGGATCCTAATTTCTAGCGCAAGATTTTCCTTAAGCCTTCCCTTAAACTATGAATTTATGGTTTGGGAGAGGTGGAAAATCATTTTAATTTAATATGTTCTATTGAAAGACTATAAGTGATAAAAAGTGCAAATGGATGGAGAAAAATAAGGACTACATTAAGAAACAGGAACTAAAAACTTAAGTAGTTGTCAATAACTGATAAACAACAGTGAAAATTGGTTTAAAAGTCTTTTTTAAAAACTTGGAAAAATTAATTACTGTAGTCACTCTTTTTATAGAAAGTAATTTTGTACATTTAATATTTTGAGAGCTTCTTCTAGAATTTTAAAAGCATAAAAATTAAGCAAAAAGAAAATGGGAAGTTTAAATATGGTGTGAGATTTGTATATAGCTGTAAAAGGAAGGCAACTTGTGCCCAGGACCATATCTATTATGCTCAGCTTTCCAAATCACCTTTTTATACCACAGGTACTTTCTGCCATGTGGAATTTGGTTTGAGAATTGTAGCTGATTAGAAAGCAAAGAGAAACTCTCCTTCATATGATAGACATTCATTGATTTATTCACTAGCATCTTTAGGACCCTACATGCCGTAGGATACATGAGGCATTCAAATAAACATTGGACATACCTACATCTTCAAAAGTGTAAAGTCCAGCTGAGAAAGCAAGTCTTATATTTGGAGCAGAGATCCAGACACTAACATATATAAGCCAGTCTGTGATGTGTAGGTCCACCTCTGCATCTCTGTGGGGGTTTATATCAAGTGGAGTTTGAGATCAAAATCCTTAATTAGGGTCTGAGAATTGAAGAATAAAGATATTATTGCAAGCTGTATAGCTCCAAACTGAAAACACCCTTAAAATCACTAATAAGACTTAGGTTGGACATTTGCCAGTGCCATAAGGTGTCACATAGCCCTTAAAGAGAATGGGGCAAAACTACATTGAGGTGGCGTGAAAAGATGCTGAACACATATTTTTCAAGGTCAAAAGCTGTATAATGACTCTATTTATATAAAAAAAGTTCTATATCTACCTCTATGTATATAGGTATATCTCTAGGCATTCTGTGTGTGTCTCTACATATAGGTATATGTGTATATGTAAATGCAGACAGAATAGAACACTAAAGTCAAATTATTATCAATGGTTACCAGTGTAGAATGGGAATGTGGAGTAACAATGAAGAGAAACATGCATGTTTTATTCCACATGCAGTGTATGAATCTTTAACAAATTATATATTTCTCTGTTAGATTAAAAAGAAAAGGGAAATAACAATGCTGGGCCTTGCTTTTTAGGGTATATTCAGATGGCAGAAACAAATAGTTTATTTTATAACATAAGGGAGGATAAGTGTGCTTCTACTTTCTAAATAAAATTACAAAAAAAATAATATATTTCAAAGACAGAAAAATCCCCATAAACTAATATGCAAAGTGAGGTTTTGATGGTAATTAATTCATTTTATCCACATACTGCAAATAAATCCCAACATTTACCAACAACCAGGATAGGAACATCAGCTCTCCTAGGCAACTAGAAAATGAATATAATTCTCTTTTCACAGAGTCACATATTTATGTTTTCAGGAACTCATAAACTATTTATTAGGCCTCATATAAATTACATTATAGGAAAGGAAGGGCATATTACACAATTACACAAAGAAAAGATACGTAATATTTTAGTCTAGTTCTCACCTATGTGCAGTGTTAAGTACGTGTAGGGAGGATACATATTGAGAAAGGGAAAGTGGGACTGTGAAATAATACATAAAATAAAATTAAGCAGGATCCTTGACTTGCCTGGTGTTTATCTGGGTTGAGCACAACTTGACCACCCTTATACGTATATCACCACATGCTCTCATTCCTTCTCCCCCCCCCCCCCCCCCGCCCCAGTCCCTATCCTTTTTCTCTTTACTGGCCTTGAGGGAGTGTGTATAAAAGACATCAGGAGGGCTGAAAAGCTCCTTAGCTGCAGACTCCTTGGCAGCCGTCCGCCCTCACGCTGACGTGTCTCCGGGCTCTGGGAGCGACTCCAGCTCAGTCCTCTCCACCATGAGCTCCAGACCCGGCACCACCTCCTCCTATGCCCGTGCCAGCCCACTTTGCAGCTTCCAGGTGTTGCTGCCACTGACACTGCTCCTGGTTGCGCTGGTTCCCTCCACCACTGGAAAAAGTAAGAGAACCTTAGGGAAGGCTGACAGTGGAGTTCCTGCTTCCTTGTGGCTGAGGCTGCTTTTGCTGCAGCTGTGTCTGGGGGGAAACTGGCGTGGTGCTCCTGGGGCTGTAGCAGGAAATTATACTAATAACTCTAAATGGAGGAACTACGCTTAGGAGGCACTTAACAAGTGCCAGGCATTCTGCGCGGGTACTTCAGATCATATTCACAGTGGCCTTGTGAGGGAGCTCCAATTCCCTAAGAAGAGGATTAAGAAATCAGACAACAGATAAGATTCTTAAGGTAGTCATGACCACTAATAGTGTCACAGTTTCTATCCCAACTAAGGGTGTGGGTGAGAGGATGCACCTTGAACTTCGCTGCATGTGTGTAAAGAACTCCTCTGGCATTCATCCTAGTAACATCCAATATGTGAAGGTGATCAAGGCAGGACCCCATTGCTCCAAAGTCGAAGTGATGTAAGTCCCTGCTTCTGTATTATTAACTCACTAGGGAAGCCCTCTGCCTCTATGGCTACTGATGCTATTTTGTTCAGCCCCATGGATCCCTTCCGATAGGCCAAGATACACAAATAATTCTATTTTCTCTTCCAGAGCCAAGTTAAAGAATGGGAAGGAAATCTGCCTGGATCCAGAAGCTCCCAGAGTCAGGAAAATAGTCCAGAAAATGTTGAAAGGTGATAGGTCAGCTGCTTAATCTATTCATTTTCTGTCAACCCTTTTTATCTTTCAGAAAGAATAGGGGTTTGAAGCACTGACTTTCTAGAGTTTTTGTTTATCCAGGACTCTTATTCATACTGTATAAAACTTTGGATATGTTTTCCATTCTCAAAAATCACATTTTATTCTGAGAAAGCTGGTTAATAGATGACAGAGAGAAGATGGAAGTAAGCAAGGCTGATTTCAAAATAAAATATATGGTTTACTCCCTAACTCTTGGTTAAATGTGGTACTATACTTTGCATTTCTTTATTTAAAAGTGTCTTTCCAAGTACATCTGTATTAACTTATCTTGCTCTACTTTATTGTTAAACTAGACACGCCCATGATGATTGATAGGTTTCATAATGGTCAATGATATTAGGAATCACATAGAGCCCAGTATAGAGCACTTGCTCAGTAAATCTTATTAATATATTTAGGGACTTAATAGAGTTTTTCATTGTCTTAGTCCTAGGATATCTTGTTTAAGAGAATTCTCTGAAAGATTTTTCTAATGTTTATTTTAGCTTTCAAACCCTAAAATTAATAAAGTTGTAGAATGTAAGTTTTGTAAGCAGTGGTTATTTACTTGAAAGTGAATATATATTAATACTAGTAAGTAAAAAAAAGATAAAAAGCAGTAACAAACTCTATCAAAAACTTCAGTATTTTCTACAATAAGAAGAGTAATAATAACACAGAGTATACTTGATATAAAATATTTTACCTTGGCATGTTTGTATATATTTGCATTTGCTCTGTACAGGGTTAAAATTTTAATATTAAAATCAACTTTGCAAATAAGTACAATAATTAAAACTTTACCAGACTACTAATTATTATTTTATAATCAACAGAACTTTCATTTATTTCTTAAATTTATCCCTTAAATTTACACCCACAGTAGTCTTACAGAACTATTAGCATAAAATCAAATTTTGTTATTTGTTATCACACATTAATTTTAACAGAATTATTGTAGGGGTCTTTGTTATATTTTTATTCTTTTTTACACTTTGGTATTCACAATACGACCAACAAAAGTCACTAGCTGATAATCTGTTCCATTTTCAATGAACTATAATAAGAGCTAAACTTTATGAATAACTTTTAATATACCAGGTATAATAAGTGTTTTACATGCACAGAAGAAATAATTCTTACAAGATAGATATGATCTGATTGAAGGCATGTCCTTTACAGAAAGAATAACTGGGTGACTCAGCTCTACCACTTGCTAGCTTTGCCACTTTTGCCAGGTGGCTTAACCTCTCTGTTCCTAAGTTTCCTCATCTCTAATATGGGATAATAATATCCCTTATCTCATAGAGTTGACAGAGAGCAATCACTGTCTGGTGGGAGAGGCAGAGAAGTTGTCTAATAATCACAGCCACCTGTGACACATTAATGTAGGTGTGTGATCCAACTGCACAAAGAAATAGATACATGAACCAGTCAAAGTCTCATCATCATTAGTTTCTACATTCATTATCTTTACTAAATTGGTAACTTTATACTGAGTCCCTGTAGGCCACCAGTGTGACAGTGATAAACATTAAGATCTCTCGCCTCATACAGCATATATATCTCACCTCATACAGCATATATATCTCATGATATGTGTGCACGCGTTTGCATGATTTGTGAGAAATAGGGAAAACAGAGGGTGCCACAAGGCACAACCACAGGGAACACAATTAGCTCCAGATGTCAGGGAAGGCCCTCTGAGGAAGTAATATTTAAGCTGACACCAGAAATATGAGTAGGACTTAGCCAGCTGAAAAGCAGGTGGTGTGGGAGTAAGAGAAAGAACACTCTAGATCCAGGAATTAAATTGCATATCCCTGCAGAAGACTGTTCTTGCTGAGCATTAAGGGGCCAGCTAGTTCCAGTGGGCTCCTGGTGACCTGTGCTACTGTTAATCAGTGTGACAGAGAGCCTCTGGCTATGAAATGAGGGTGTAATTTTCCCTGATCAAGAACCAAAGTCATTCCTTTTCAGGGAAGGGAAGGTGGTCCATAATGATCTTTCAACCTCTCCTGCGCAGGATTCTGTTGCATAGCCTCCACCCTCTCCCCCGCACACAGCTCCCAGGCGCTCTGTGTCCCGAGAGCTTCACAGCCCCTGCCAACAGTGGAGCCCATCTCACCCTGTCACTGGTACTCGCCCAGGCCACAGCGGGCACTGGAAGATGTGGCCTCGAAATTCTCCTTCTTCACCTCTCTTCTTGGTTGAGCAGAATAAAGAAACTTCCAGACATCATGTTTTACAAAAAGAGTGCATTCAAGTATTACTTTCACAGTTGTGTTTGTCTGTTTGTTTTTCTCAGAGTAAGAGTATCAAGGATGATAGGCCTTGCTTTTTAGAGTATATTGGATGATGGGCTGGTAGAGCTGGTGAATCCCATTCAAGAAACCAAGGAAGCCTTCCACAATCAGCTGAAATTCAGAACTAATCACCTCGAGACCAGATTTAGCCTTTTAGCAGCAGAAAACAAGTACAAACTACAGACTTTTAACACACACTGCCACTAGACTCAACTCAGTGGTAATCAACAAGAAAGGCAGCAGCAGAAGAGCAGATCTTGATAAGGATTGGAAGTTGGGGAGGAAACAGAAACTATGTCAGCCCTGAAGGAACATGCTCTGTAAATTGCAACGGGGTGGCTACAGGGAGCTCTACTGTTACACATAACAAAGAACACATATTTTATAAGGTTCAAATGCTGTTTCTAATTCCACAAATGTGCATGTATATGAAAGCCGGTTGGGGTGTGGATCCTGCCACCAGCTTGCAGCCAAGTCAGATGACACAAGCTTTTTTCCTGTTCCCCTAATCTTGGCTGGTCAGAGCCCAACTCTTATGGGCAAATGTACCGCAGCATCACACCCTCCACCCAGACTTCCGGACTGGACGGATAGTGGGGATAAAACGGCCCTGGAGAGTCTCAGAACCACTGGTCTGCAGAGCGCCAGCTCACGTTGCCTTTTGTACTCTAGTCTCCTGGTGGCACCTCCGCAACATGAGCCTCAGAGTGGGTTCCCGTGCCGCCCGCCCCGGTCCCGTCCGCGGGCTGCTGCTCCTCCTGGGGCTGCTGCTCCTGCCAGCTGTGGTTGCCGGCGCCAGCGGTGAGAACAGAAGCGGAACAGGTAGGGCCGGGGTGGAGGTGGGGGGCGTCCAGGAGAGAGGCCGGGAACCTGCGCGGCTGCGGGGGAACCTGTAACCACCCTTGACATCCATTCTGTTTTGCTGGGCACAAGTTAAGTGTGCACGGCGCGGTGCCGAGCGCTGTCCCATGCGCTTCACCATCTAGACAATACTTCTTGCTGAGGTTTGTGGACGAGGAAATGAAGGCCGAACCCAGTAAAAGTCCTAAGGAGCCATGCTAGGAGTCACCACCCCCTCCCTGGCTCTCACGTCTCCCCTACTCCCACCCCCACCCCCTTCCCCAGCAGACCCTGAAGAAGGAGATGGGGATCTGCAATGCGTGTGTATGAAGACCACCTCCCGAGTCCATCCCAAGTACATCGTCAGCCTGGAGATGATCCGACCTGGACCCCACTGCCCCACCTTCCAAATGATGTGAGTCCTTGCACTTGCTTCTCGCGCCCACCCTCTGCTTCCTCCACCTTTGCCTCTTGCCCCTCCCACCCAGAGCCTAATCCTGTGATCAAACCCAGTAACTGAGGGGCGGGCCTCCTCTCCTTTCCCTGGCAGAGCCACGCTGAAGAAGGGAAGAAAAACTTGCCTGGACCCTGACGCCCCCATTTACAGGAAAATAATCAAGAAACTTATGGAAAGAAAACTATGAGCTGCCTAAGTCAATACACTTACTATATAATGTATGTTCCTTTTTCTTTCCATTTTCGATCTATCTGTGGAAAAATCTGATGTTTTATTATCCTTCAAATTCTACATAAAGAAAATCAATCAACTTGTGGTACATTCAAAACACTTCTTAATAGAGCAAAGCATCATTACTTCATATAAGAAAAAAAATCTCCAGAATTTTAAGCAAAAATATATTTGGAAGGAAGGCTTAGTTTAATAAACACTGGTTTTGCTTGGTGTTATATGTTGGCTGAGGCATATTTGCTTATTTACACAATTACATTATTTATGAGCTGCTTATTTACATATTAATGCTATAATTAGTTATGTCAATAAATATTAATAACACTGAAGATTTACTGGACTGCTTTGTAAAAAACATTAAATAAATCAGACTCTGTTTTTCTCTCCTTAAGATTTATACTGTATCTCTACCCAACATTAAAAAATTAATGAAAATAAAACTAGAATCTCTACTACTTAATGGAAATATATTAATATTTTCCAGAGAATGATATTAAACTATTGTACTCTTTATTGGTCCTTTGATAATGTCGACATTTCACAAAAATGAAATATTAAGAACAGTTCTCATATCCACGTCTTGCCTGTTATGAATTCTGCATTTGGCAAATCTAGAGAATTGATACATATTACATTCCATTTGTATACTATGAGCATTGCTCTAAGCATGCAAATACTTTCATGGATTTTTGTTCCCTCAGTATTCTCAGGTTCAATGAAACCTTATTTTCAGTTTACCACTGTTCTATGAATCCCTTAACAATGGAAATATGGAGATTATATGTTAAGCAGCTGTGGTAACCTGCAGAGATGCAAGGTGGTATTTTTATTCATGCTTTAGGAAGACACTACTATACTTTGAAGAGAAAGGACATGTTGCGAGATGGGTGTGTTAGTTTTCTATTGCTTCTGTAATCAATTACAACAAACCCAATGGCTTAAGTTACACAGATTTATTATCTTACATTTCTGGAAGTCGCAAGTCCAAGTGTGGTCTTGTGAGCTAAACTCAGTGTCCTCAGAGCTGCATTCCTCCTGGAAGCTCAAGGGAAAAATCCATTTCCTTTTCTTTCTCAGCTTCTAGAGGTGACCTGCAGTCTTCAGCTTGTGGCCCCTTCCTCTATCTTTCCAACCTCATCTTCTGTTGTTATTTCTGACGCTTTTGTTTTTATACCCTGCCTTCCTCTTAAAAGCACCCTGGTGATTATGTTGGACCCAACTTGCATTGTCCAGGATAATGTTCTTATCCGATGATCCTTAACACACCTGAGTAGTTTTTTTTTTGTTTTGTTTTGTTTTTGGGTTGTTTTTTTTTTTTTTTTTTTTTGCCATATAAGGTAATATTTTCACAGATTCCAGGGATTACAGCATGGACATCTCAGGGGGCAGGGCCATTATTCAGCAGGAAGGCAGAATCTAGTTGATGCAGGAAAAAACTACACACCTTCACTCATGAGCTAATGTCATTTCAACATAATGTGGTAATGTTTGTGTAGAGGAAGGAACTGAACTGTTAAGAAAAAATGTAGAATGGTACAATTCAGTTTCCATGGGAGGTGGGCGAGGGGGCAAAGGGCAGAAGAGCCTTTGACAAACAACGTGAAGAAACATTATCTATAGAGGCTTATGAAGTGCCGTAGTACCTTTGTCTAAATTTCCACACCCACTTTGCCTGGTAGGTAATATTATTCACAGTGTAATGTTGAGATAAGAATCTCAGAAATATTAAGGACACTCTCAAGGCCGCATTTGGTTAGAGGCTGAGTAGATAAGTCTGACTACCAACTCCCTGTTCTTGCTTCCACACTGTGCTGCCTTTCACACACGCTAGTGGCACGTTAGCTAATCATTCAAAGAGGAACTGTTCCTTAAACCAGCTCTGGAACTTGGAGTAGCAATTTGCCAGGGAGACAAAGGAGGGAATGGAACTGCCACAAGATGAAAAATAAGTAGGAAGAAACACAAGACCAATAAGTCCTCAGCACCTTCATTGTTCCTCAGAGCTTCAGTGTCTATGGGGAGAGTGAATGATGGTCTCCCAACTAGTTTTTGCCCATTTGGTGTTTTTCCCTTTCAGTCCACCTTATGCATAGTTATCTGAATTATCTTTTCAAAACACAGCACCCTCCCTGCATGAAACCTTCAAGGTCCAAAGTCCTGAGCACGGCACCCCAGTCTATGCCCCAGTCACTTCACTTCTGTGTCTTAGTCGCCTCCTGTGGATAAAGTGGGAACATTATGAGTGTCTGCTTCATAGATTACTGAGAGGACTAAATACATGATGTGTGCAGAACACCTGGCATAGTTCCTCATAGATAGTCTGTGCTTAAAATTAGTAACTATTAACAATTATTCTTGCTCTCAAAATTGCTCTCAATGCACCATCTCAGTCATTTTGGAGTATCGAATAAGTCATTTAACACAGCAATTCTTGGCGGTAAGTAGCAAGAAAGGTCGCAATGGCAATGAAATTTCCTCAAATCAAATGACCTTTGGGAGAGAAAGCATTGAAAATGGAGTGTGGGTAGTACAATAGTTTTCACCTATTTTCCTCTTACTGCCTGCCTCAAACAACACACCTAGGTGTGACTCAAAGGGTCAAAGGACCAAAACAAAATTTCCCATGTCAATTTAGTGCTGGTGCTTTGTAAGTAAATAATCCCTTCAGAATTGCCTTGGATAAAGAACACTTTCAAGCTGTTACCTTTATCGGCAATGGTATCCATATTGGACATTCCTGCTGTGAAATGGCCAAGTCAGGTGCAGTTTCCTGGAGCTGCCTGCTGTTATAAACATTTATGGAGTAATAAAGATTGAATGTACTTCAACTTACTTATTTTTATTTTTTGACTGCCTTGAAGTAGTCAGCAGAAAACATTCACTAAGTTACTGCACAGTCAAGAACCCTATCAAAAAACAGAACCACTGAAGGTTATTTTGTTCTTGGAAGCTGTGCCTCATTTTTCTTCTTTTTGTTCTTTTCCTCTGTCTAAGGCTTTTGTGATAACAACAACAACAACAACAACAGCAAACAGTTTCCTCTTCAGTGCATAGAGCACTGAGGATTTAGTTGGTTTTAAAGACATGTATATTTTTTTGCATTATAAAAGACAACAAATTCATTCTTATTATAGACAAAAAATACAGAGGAAATAAGAAGGAAACATGAAAAAACTAATTCCTCTACTCAAAAATTTTCTTTTCCTTTTTGAAAAAATTAGTCATTTAATATTGTTGGGGAGTGGGAGAGAATTCCCCTACTCTAACCTTCTTTAGTTCTTATGGCTGGGCTAGTGATAAAATAAGAAAATTGACACAAGACTAGATTAACAGAAGAAAAAACAATTTAATATGTGTACACAGGAGAAAATCACAACTTGATGCTGACATCATGAAATGAGGCTCAAAGAAATGATTGAACTAAGATCTTTTTACACTTTTTAGACAAAGAAACAACAAATTAGTGGGCAATCAACAAGATAAAGAAAGTGCTCATTAGAAGGCAATCTAAGCTGGTTTGGGTGTTTGTTCAGGAGGAATTTACACAAAGCTTGGGTGTTACAATACTTGTTTATACATTCTTTTTGACTCGACTGTATAACTTTTGTGATAAGTTTACATCTCAGTCCTTCCGGAACAGGAAGAACAGCTGTTATGGAGATATATTTCCTGCTTTTGAGGGCATAAAGGAGAGCCAGAGAATTCTTCTCAAAATAATCAATTTGCCATTATGGGGTATTTTATGTCAGCCTTCCCTGGGCCCTGACAATATGGTTATCAGGCGAATTGCTAATTTTCAATAAAATACCATTGTAAACCATCATAAAGGAAACACTTATTAATGACTTCATTGAACTGACATTAGTTAGGGAGCATTTGTTGTCTCAGTTTGGGGTAATAAAATAAGTTTTCCCTGGCCAGAGAAAGCATTTACTTATACATGTATAGATACTGTGTGTAGTCACTGTGTGTTTATATACGCATATATGCATGTGTGTATGTATTTACATACACATACCCCTAAAACAAGCTCACAATACAATACTTATACTTGCTTTGTACAATGTGTTCTGATATTTTGTTTCCTATATTATCTTATCTCACTTTATCTACTTTTTAAAAAAGCATTGACCACAAGCCTATACAGTGATTTCATAACTCACTGCTGTATCATAACTCATAGTTTGAAAACATTGCTCTAGTTCTTTCACTGAAGGGTCAAGTTTTAACATTCTATGCTGGAGTCCACACTCTAATTAGTGTTTCCCGAGATACTTAGGGAGTCAGTAGGGGCAAGATACTCAGAGCCAGCAGGACAGTTAAATCCTTTTGCCTGTAGTCTAACTTCAGTCTCAACCTCCAGGCCTCACCTGGGGTTGGAGTCTGTGGGAATCCCATGTGGAGAAGCTTCTGAGGGGAAGATGCAGCAGCAAATAGGACATTGCCTGGAATGTTGAGTATCTGCATCCTTCACTGCTGGAGGCTCTTATTTATACTCATTGCCAACTCTGCATCAGCCATGCATGTCCCAGCTTGGGATTTCATACAAACTGATTTGAGGGTTGAAAATACACTACTTCCTAAGAGAACTTGGAAAAAAAAACATACTCATTAAATTCAATTCATGTTTTTATAATGATCTCTTCTTCCCCTATAGCTCTTTTCCTTATCCTTGTAGTTTCTGGCTTTAGCCTTATGAGTTTTTGAATAATGTAGTCTTGGGCCACATCTCAGTTTTGACTCTGTGTGACCCTAAGCCTCCTCAGTTTCCTCATCTGCCAAAGAGAGGCCATACTGTCTGCCTCGCAGGGCTCTGGAAAGGAATAAATCTTTCTTATAATTGAATGCCATATGGGTCTGGCTCAGAGTTAAAACCAAATAAATACAAATTACTCTTCTTCCCTTTCTTCAGAGTTTACCCCCAGAACATTTAATTACAAACAGTGGTGACCTCAGTCCTTGAGCTGGGAAGCAATTCATTAAGAACACAGCCAACAAGCCAGACCGTCCCTCTGCACAGAACCACCGCCCAAAGCTTGAGTGCTGATAACTGGTTAAGAAAGAAAAAAGTTTAACACAATAGACACAAAGCTGTATTTTCCATTCACAGCAACAACTAAAAGGAAGTCAAATAGCAAAATCACAATGTTTATCAACCAGCAAATCTATAAACTTTTAAAATATAGGAGACACCTGGTGATTAGTAGCCTGGCTTAACTGTCTATCTACTAATGAAAACAAGGAAAAGAAATAAACTTTGATGTAACGTTGTCAAATATTTATTTCATTGTTGAAGTTGGCATAACATGGGGATTATGCTGTTTTGAGCTGAGAGGTAGTAAAAGTTGAAAGCAGAGCAGCCATCAAGCGGAGGTGGAATGATCAGTTCTTACTGACCAGGTGTGTTCGG